TTTGCATTGCCAATCATTCCCCAGGAAGATCTACTCTGAGGGGCCACTGCTGACCTTCCCTTCTGACAATGCTAGCTCTCTGGCTGTCATATTCTAAGCCAATGACCCTGAACAAGCAAACAGATCAGGTTTTCTCATTTTACTTCTCACCTCACTTGTTGCATACATGATCATTAGCTAAAGGCAGAGACAGCCAGGCAACTTGTATTTTTGGAAGGGCAGCAAAGCACTGGAAGTGTACAAGCTTCTCAGTACAGGTTTCTTTAAAGCTCAACTCCAGGTACACAGACAAACTAGATAAGAGCTTTTTTTACCCTCCGAAGTACCAGTATTTATCTCTATCCAGTCCTGAGGTTTAGCAAGGCTCTGTCACATCACACAGTCCTGTCTGGCAGGGCAGAATACCCGATTATTCTCTGCTGAAGTTCAGTAACACTTACAGGTCTTGTGCCTCCGAAACCCTGTGACTGAACAGCTAAAGGAGAAGAACAACCATGAGTTCACCTATCTGTCACTCTGCTCTCTCCTCCTTTCGGAATACTCCTTGCACTGCAGAAGAACTGATGGGCTTCTTGTGCTATTTCTCCCTCTCACAAACTGAGCTCTGCTGTACGGGGACTAATACCATGTTCATGTACTTGCATTTATTGCACTTAAAAAATACATTTAATGGCATTTTAAAGAAGATCTCTGGGAAAACAAGGGTTAAGTGCTCAGTTTGTCTAGGGGGCTCAAATAAAGCTGCATTACTCACCTGATCCTCGGGTACCGTTGGTTTCCCCCATGCTGCTAGACCGGCCCCCACAGCTCTTCTCCCCTGGGCTGGTCTAAGGGTCACTGACATCATCACATCTTATCTAAGTCCACTGACATGCATTAGATTAGACATGAGGATGCCGATGGATGTTCCATAACTGGAGCGGATGGGAAGAGAGGCAAGTGTTGAGCCCCCTAGACAAAATGAGCACTTAACCCTTCAAGTGTGGGGGTAGCCTCATTGCAAGGGTAAGATTTTTCTTCTTCATTAATAAAGACAGAGCTGTAATAATTTGTCTTTTATCTGACTGAAGTTCAGATTTAAACAATATATAACAAATATTAGGAATGAAAAAAAAAACTAAACAAAAACACTCCACATTCTATCTGACTGGTGAATTTCTGCTGCTCCCTCTTTTTGACTCTTTCAGAAAGTATCGGTCACCCAGAACCCCTGATCAGGCAGTCTGCTGGCTCCAACCAGGACCTAGGGAGGGTCAGGAGTGCATCATGGCCCATTCTATAGAAAACCTTCCACAATTCTCCAATATGCCAGCACAGGACAACAGACAGCACAGCTAACAGATGTGAGCAGCATATCCCCCAAGAAGGACCTGTTAAGATTACCCTCCTTCCACATATGGTTAGACTATATAATCACAGCATAGGTTAGGATATAATCAAAGCATAGGTTTGCTTCAGGCCTTGCTGTTGATATAAATACCTGCAGCTCTTTGACGATCATGAAGCACAGCAGTCTGTCCAGCCCGTTTAAGCCAAATGTTCCCAGGGAGTCCTGGATCTCGGAGAAGAGGTGACTGTTGGTCACTTCATGGTGGGTGCGCATGTCGTACCAGGTGTTCATCTGGTCTATGTAACACGTCACTCTGCAGTGAAAAGACATTGGGGGGACATTTATAATTAGGGGTGCACTGATACTAGTAATTGTACTTGCCCAAATGCTCTGATACTTACCTCCGATCCTGGAACTTCCGGCCAGACGGAGATTTCCCTCTGATCGGCAGTGCCGAGGGAGCATGGAGCTGGCTGTCTTTGCAATCAGGAAGCTAGGCGGTCGGTTATGACCCACCTCCCGACTTCCTGATTGTCTAGGAAGCCGGCTTCACCCGTTGCTAGGCAACCTGGCTTCCTGACCAATCAGGAAGCTGGGTCAGGACGTGCCACCCAGCTTTCTGATTGGCTAGGAAGCCGGCTTCACCTGTTGATAGGAGACTGGCTTCCTGGCCAATCAGGATGCCGGATGGCACCTCATGACCCACTGCTCGAATTCCTGATTGGTCAGGAAGCCAGGCAGCCTCTGCAAGTGAAGCTGGTGTTCTTTAGATAGAACACCGGCTTCACATGGAATCAGGAAGCCGGGCAGCGGGTTATGATCCGCCACCCGACTTCCTGATAATTGGGGGACAAGGCACTGGTATCAGTACTTGGTATTGGCAAGCCCAAAAAGAAAATATCGGTACTCGAAAAACCAGTATTGGTGCATAACTATTTATTATTTTAGATGGAAATGTATTATATGTAGAATGGCCCAAATGTTACTTTGTCAGTCTCATATGTTTAACTACTTTACGACCGGAACAATTTTAATTTTTTTTAATTACTTTGTGCACAACTTAAAATTGAAATTTTGACTAGAACACCGCTTAAAGCCCCCACACAATGATATATTTTAAGAAAGCAGAGGCAATGTAGAAAAAGAATGCTAGTTGCAATTTTTTTATGTCTCGATATTTGCACAAAGGTTTATCCAAGCGATATTTTTAGGAAAACATACACATGGAAGGAATGTTAGAGCACACAAACACAATAGAATACCCATTTTTTGGGTAAAATATAAAAGATGGGGTTGTGTCAGAGAGATACTAAACAAGTCAAACCTTACAGGAGAACTATGGGGTCAGTGTTTTTCCCCATAGTTCTCCTTAGGGTAACGGGAGGACACAAACTAGCATCCTCCCGTTACCCTAAGCTCAGTATACCGCGAGCTACAGCTTGCGGTATACTGAGACTCCGCAGCCGGAGCGGATCCCAACATAGATGTCGAGATCCGCCCAGCTGCGTGAGTGACAGCTGGCTCTGCCTATCTAGAGGCAGAGCCATCTGTACCCGCCCCCTCCCCCGTCCGATCCACCAGTCACTGCTGGCGGATCGGAGCGGGGGGAATCCAGCCCCTCCCTTGTCACGGCAGAGAGCTGTGACAGGATCGAGAGGTGAGCGGACGCCGGTATATGTTCGCACACCTCCCGATCTACTGAGCCGACCTGTGACAGTCTCACTGTCACAGGTCGGCTAGAACTATAAAGGTGAGTGAAAAGCACTCACCTCATAGTTCTCCTTTAAAACTGCGCTCCTGTAAAATGGCAAAAAAAATGACAGTACCCCAAATTGCCCATAGGTGATGTTTTAAAAGCTTTTACCGCTCATCAATTTAGAGTTAACAGTCACTTGCCTTATTTTTAATTGCTCACTCTCTTTTTTTTTTCTCTTTCACATTTGCCATGAAAACTTACTTTGGATCTGTTATTCTCAGGATCTCCCGGCACAGACGCCCAATAAAGGTGACAGACTCGTCCACCGGAGGGAACTTGGGGATGGGGATGTGAGTGGACTGGTACATGCTTTGCCAGTCTTGAATCTGGTGGAAACATGAAGATCTGGAATTAGGTGAAAAGTGGCAAAGGCAAATGATACCCCTGAAACGTGGAGCTCTGTAGTTAGAGAAGACCTCCAAGTCAGTGTTCATTTATCTTGTAGCACTCCTTACCGGATATCCCAAAAACATTTCAGGTGCTCCAAATGACTGCGGATGGCACCGCTAACAGTAAAACGTGAATAAAGATGTCACCAACTTGAACGTTTCCAAATCAGTGCAAGTCCATTTTGTTGACAGATGTCACTCAAATGACAAGCACATTCGGGGCCACGCAGGGACCCCTTCATCAGGCTCAGAGATTACGTTATGTCTGAGCCTGATGAAGAGGACCTTGCGTGGCCCCGAAAGTGCTTGTTGTTTGAGTGACACCTATCAACAAAATAGATTTGCACTGATTTGGAAACGTTCAAGTTGGTGACATCTTTATTCAAGACTTCCAAGTCAGGATGCAACAATCAGCGATAAAAACATTGCATACACAGTCCAGATTTTAGACACTGTTTCATGTTACACTCATACTTAGGATATAATAAGAAGCATGGTCATGCCCATAATACAACCTCCCCCCCTCCACATCCTAAATCGAGGGAGGTTGTTCTGTTCTGGCATAAACTTGTTTTGAAGCCAGCCATCCAATCGTGCCAAGTGTTCAATGGGATTGCTTCCATTACCACCATGGCAGGGGGACTGTCAACAGCCACAACAGAGATCTCTCTTCCCAAACCCCCCTTGTAATCCAGCCGCACTTTCTTCAGCCCAGTTCCCTATCTTTGTACGGAACTGAGGTTGGGGGAAAACACTGCAAGAGCCTGTGCATTGCATCTGTGATGCACTCATAGTGGGTGCAATGCTCTGCAGGCTTCACTGCACAAAAATCAGTAAATACCCATCAATCGTGACTTCAATGTTTTTGCATTTAGTATTTTTTTTCCAAAAGGTGGACTGTCACTTTAAAACCATAAACATTGTGGTGACAAAGCTCCTCCTACTAGTCATAATAGTTGACTTTTATTGGTTGCTAACAAATCCAAACGTACAACACTACCTTTGTCCGGAGGAAGTTGTTGCATTCTTGTTCTACGTTGTAGTTGACGATCCGTGACACTTCTTCTTGCCAAATCTTCAGACCGTAAATGCTGACATAATCCTGGATGTACTCGAAGGAGCGGTGGAACCCGTCCATTGTGGCCGCCATTTCCTTCAATTTTGGCAGCAGCTCGCTGGGCTGTAAAACAAAATGGCATCATTATCCTGAAAAAAAGCCTGGCCATCTGCAACTCTTATTCCCTCCTGATGCAATGGAAGCTTTATTTGTGCGTTAAGTCAATGAGTAAAATGTATAGTTTGTAAACAACTGACATACACGCTACATACATGCTACATAAGCATTGTGACATAAAGGAGAATTATGGGGTGAGTGAAAAACACAATGAAGCTGTCACAGGTCGGCTCTATTGATCGGGAAGTCAGAAAACACACCCTCCGCCGATCGCTGACTTCCCGATCCTCTCCCTGCAGAGAGCAGTGACTGTCAGTCACAGCTCCCTGCAGGGATCCCCCCCTTCTCTAATCCTCCAGCTCTGCCTGGAGGAACGGACGTGGGAGGGGGCAGGCACAGCTGGCTCTGCCTCTAGATAGGCAGAGCCAGCTGGGTGGATCTCGACAATATTGTCGGAATCCGCCCTGGCTGGGGCAATCTCAGTATATTGTGGGCAATGGCTCGCTATATACTGAGTTTTGGGTCACAGGAGGAGGTTAGTATATGTCCTCCCGTGACGCTGAAGAGAACTATGGGATAAAAAGGTTACCTCATAGTTCTCTTTTAGAGGAGAACTATGGGCAGAGGGAAAAACAATCATCTCCATAATTAGAGCCAACATGTGACTGCAGCTGTGACACCCAGCTCTTAAGATAGAGAGCTGAGCGATCACAAACCACTGATCGCCCAGCAAATTATCTTCTCCCTGCAGAGAGTATTGACTGTCAGTCACCGCTCCCTGCAGCGATTCCCCCTCCCCTCTCTGTTCCTACAGTGCTGATTGGAAGGACAGACAGGGGAGGGGCCGGCACAGCTGGTTCTGGCTCTAGACAGGCACAGCCAGCTGTCAATCTGGTGGCGGATCCCAACAATATTGCTGGGATCATTCCCAGCTGCAGCACGTCTCTGCGCTGTCGGTATTTATATGGGTTATAGCCTGCTATCTGCTGAATTTTGTAAATGTACCCCTGTGACCCAAAAGAGAACTATAGCCAAAAAAGGTTTGGCCATAGCTCTTAAAGTATATCTAAAGCCAAAAATTCTATCTTTTTTTGTTTTGGATAGAGTAGGAAGGGATCTGCACACCGATCAGGTTTTTATTGCTGTCTATATCCCAGTTGGGCAGATTTACCTGCTATTTGTCTTGGTGACCATTACCACTGGGTCTGAAAGTAAGGCAAGTCCAAATATTTAACCGGAAAATTCAAAAAAGGTCACAAGCACTCCAGCATGTAGAAAAGTCAATGTTTATTGGCTTCACAATTGTCGCATCATCAGAGCGACGTTTCGGAACAGCAAAGTCCCTTCCTCAGGCAAAACGTTTCAGAACTCTTTGCTGTTCCGAAACGTCGCTCTGATGATGCGACAATTGTGAAGCCAATAAACATTGACTTTTCTACATGCTGGAGTGCTTGTGACCTTTTTTAAATTTTCTGGATTTATTCTGCGGAGGCATCCGCGGTCATTTCAGCACCCACCCTACAATTTGAGTTTTCTATCCGGTCAGGAGTGCAATGGGTGTGTATGGTTTTTTCAAATATTTAACCTGTCACCAAATTTGGACTAGAGAAGAAATCTTCCAACGGGGACTCTTTTTTTGGTGGCAAATGTCTAAGAGGGGATATTTCATGACTTTTAAAAGAGATTTCCTCTGACTTACTGATGTATCTATTGAAGAGAATCTCCCAAATGGCACAAACATG